ATATATGTGTGTGTTTATGCATGTGTGCACTTTATAAGGTTTTACTGAGCAGTATAGATGTAATACTTACAACAGCTTTTTGCTTTTGACTGCTCCAGCTGCTCCTCCCTACCCCAGCACACTGGATGTTCTTCGAAGACTGCAGTAAATTTTTATATTACCTTTACTTCTTCTTGGATTATTGACTGATGTTTCTTTAGGAGTAATACTGATTGGATTTGGGTGGATTCCATAAGAAAACCCAGAGTAGGGGGGTTGGAGAGATAGCACAGTAGAATGAATGCTTGTCTGGCAAGTGCAGGGTCCTGAGTTCAATTGCCAGTACCACAAAACAAACAAACAAACAAACAAACAAACAAACAAACCAACCAACCAACCAGAGTAGGAGCCGTAAGAGTTCCAGGGTGGTTCAGGAGAGATAGAGGATCAACACCAGAAGGAAACAGTGCTACAGTGTGCTACTGCGAAGTACAAGTGGATGGCTAGGCAGTGCTTCGCCTGCTTCCAGTAGATATAGTAATGCTATGTATGCATGGCACGCTTCTCTAAGACCAGCATTTCAATGCTTTGAGTGCAGAGATTTCAGTTCCATATGTGAGGGCCTTCTTCTTATTTTTTGCAGTGGAAATGATTGTCTGATTCTATAAAGAGTTACGTGGTACAGACATGAACTGATTTATCATCTTTATAACCAACCTGGTTGTAACACTTTCCTAATAACATTGGGGATGCTGGCTCTTTCTATAACTTTTCCGTTTGGGATAGCTAGTTACAAAGAGGGAAACTCTTGATTGTGATAGAGTCATATAATTTAGAAAAGAACAAAATGAGGAATTTTAACTTCAGGGTTGAGAGAACATAAGAATGTATTATTCTTACTACTAAATGATGACTGAACAAAAGCAAGGTTATAAATCCCAGGGAAAACAATTTTTAAAGGTCTGTTTTAAAACAATAGATTATCCCTCTGAACATTCATATTTACTCTTGGGAGTTAAATTTCATTGGAGAGACAAAATATGACTCTATCCACATAAGTGTTAAAGTAATTGATATCTGATCTGGAAAATTTTCCTATTAAACATTACCGAGCACAGATCCATTACTGAATATTTATTTATTTAGCAAATAAATCTTGATATTTTCATCAGGAGAAGATGGCATATGCTTATTGTATTACTTTATTATTATTAAAATACAACCATATAAGAATAAGAACTATGCAAAATTGCATTATTTCACAGGAATATATGAATAAAAATCACAAGTAAAATCTTTATAAATGAAAACATAATAATTCTGTGGCTGGTGAATTATTACTTGTTTTATATAACCTGACTACTCTGCATGAATCAAAGCAGATTTTTTTCTTAAAGAAGAAAAATGGGTAGCTGTAATATAAAAAAGTCAATTATTTTCTTCTCCATGAAGCATAATACAATACAGCTCTATCATATTATGCCTTTAAGATTTTGGTGGGCCTTACCACATTCCTAAACAGAAAATATTGCATTGTAAGTTCCTGAGCATATAAAATCCATGCTGTCCTATAGACAAATTTGAATTTCAACTCAACTTCTGCGGTCTTACAGAAATTATAAGGGCAATCTACGACTGAAGACAAGTGCGTCTTAAGATAAATCGCTGTATAGCTAATTTCTAATTCGGTTGGCTCATTATGATGAGAATTTTTGAAAATTTTGACCTAAATTTTCAGATGAATTAATTTTATAGTTTTTCCCGTCGGCATCTGTTTTTCATGTGGAAATTCCTGACACTGACTGTGAGCCGCGGGCTGGCTAGAGAGGAAACACTGCATAGGGCATCCTCGCCCTGCTTAGCCCTGCCACCGCTGCTGCCAGCCACAGCTGGGCTTTGGCTTGGTCACGTGACCGGGGACCGCCGCACTCCCTCCTCACCAGACTCATGAAGGTGACCTGGAGTTGGACAGAGTTTCTGAGTCGGAAGTTCGTTTGCCAGCCTCCACTGGCAGAATTAAATGTGATAGCCTCCAAGTTTTAATGATAGCAACTTCTTCTCCAGTGAAACTTTGATGGGCACATTCCTCATCCAAGATATTTGAGGTATATGACCTTAGACTATTGAAGGTTTATTTAGGGTATATGAGTAAATTAGACATTTTAGCACATGGTCTCCCTTTCTCTTGCTGCAATGAAAGCTTGCTTGCTTGTTTGCTTGTTCGCTTGCTTGCTTTCTTTCTTCTTTCTTTCTTTCTTTCTTTCTTTCTTTCTTTCTTTCTTTCTTTCTTTCTTCTTTCTTTTTCTTTCCTCTCT